TTCTCTTGCGTTCTTCTATGTTTTTTTGTCAATTGAACCCAACCTGCAGAATAATCACTATTCTACCCGGCGTCAGTTTTCTTCCATCAGGGTGCTTATCCGATCACTCGCCGTGCATTATCTCTCTTTTTGACCAATAGGAAAGCAAGACGAAACTGTTTAGATTTTTCAATATGTGGACTAATGATGGTAGCTTCCAAGAGGTTGTGCAAAATTGTTGACAACAAGAGATTAGGGGTACGAAAAAAATTCAAGCTTTGCAAGAAGTTACAGAGTCTTAAAGGGGAGCTTAAAAAGCTTAATGAGAAGCACTTTTCACATGTTTCCATGAGAACTAAAATGGCTACTATGGAGTTGAAAGAAGCACAATTGACATTGCATGATTATCCTCTTAATAGTGAACTTCAAAGTAAGGTGGCGCGCTTGAGGAAAGTAGCTATGGATTTGTGTAAAGCGGAGAGGAGTTTCTACTATCAACAAGCTAAGTGCGAGTGCCTAAAGTTGAGTGACAAATGTACTAAGTTCTTTCACTCGGGGATCAAGAGGAATAGTAAAAGGAACTACATTTCTACCTTGCTTAAAGGGAATAGATCATATACTACCTCTTTGGAAGAAGTGGCCAATGAATTCCTTCATTTCTAAAGTAACTTACGGGGAAAAATTGTGTGGGGCATCCTATTGATGTTGACATCTTGAAGAGTGGTCATGTGTCATCGTTAGAGAATACTTTGGCCCTAGTTCGAGATGTTTCCGAGCAAGAGATCAAGGAGGCACTATTTAGCATAGGGGATGATAACTCACCGATGTCGATGGATATACTTCTTGTTTCTTTAAGAGTCGTGGGAATTGTTGGTAATGAGTTCATGAGGGCGGTGAAAGAATCTTTGCTTCTAGTTCTTTTCTTAAGCAAACTAACCACACGGTTATTGCATTGGTTCCTAAGAGCAATCATTTTACCTCGGTGGGAGAGTTTAGGCCAATTGCTTGACGTAATGTGTTCTATAAGGTTATTACCAAGATCGTCACTTCTCGATTAAGGCCTATACTTGGGACAATTGTTGATCAAGCACAAGTTGCATTTGTGGAAGGTAGAAGTATGACGGAACACATTCCCCTTGCCCAAGAGCTTCTTAGGCAATACAATCGTAAAAGCGTTGCTCCTAGCTGTNAAGGTAGAAGTATGACGGAGAATATCAATCTTGCCCAAGAGCTTTTGAGACAATACAATCACAAGAGGGTTGCTCCTAGATGTTTGCTTAAAACTGACTTAAGAAGGCTTATGATTCGGCAGATTGGAAGTTTTTCAGAAGTGAGCTTCATGGGTTGGAATTTCTGAAGAAATTCATTGATTGGGTGATGTAATGTATTACCATGCCAGCATATTCTATTATTCTTAATGGTTGTCTTCATGGATTCATTAAAGGGAAGAAGGGGCTTCGTCAAAGGGACCCCACCCTCTCTCCACTTTCTTTTTTGTGATTTGCCTTGAAAACTTCTCAAGGATGTTAAAGTGTGCAGCTGAGAATAGTGAGTATAATGTTCATCCTAAATGTAGTTCCTTAAAGATTACTCATTTGACATTTGTGGATGACTTAATGCTCTTCTCTAGAGGTGATGGAATTTCGGTGGACATCTTGATGGATTGTTTACCTACATTCAGAGACATGTCGGACCTAAGGATGAATGTTAATAAATCCAGAGACATGTTGGACCTAAGGATGAATGTTAATAAATCTAGCTTGTACATGTCAGGAGTGCATGGGCAAGACCTTGACAACATTTATGGCTTTGCTAATATGCCCAAGCGATCTATGCCTTTCACATACTTGGGTATTACCTTAGTGGAGGAGAAGCCAAAAATCAGCTTTTATGATTAATTTCTTATCAAAATTTTGGCCTATATATGTGCTTGGTCTAGAGCATCTTTATCCTATGAGGGGAAGGCGAAACTCATTAGAGCCGTCCTTCAAGGAGTTATATGTTTTTGGCTCTCTATATTTCCTATCCCGCTACAGTGATTTCAATGGTCATTAGTCTATGCCGCAATTTCTTTTGGGGGTCTAAGAAACCATTGGTTGCTTGGAACAACGTTTGCTTACTGAAAGACGATGGAGGATTTGGTTTTAAATATTTGAAATGTTGGAATTCTACCTACTGTCGAAGTCACTTCGGAATATTCATAGGAAGGACTCATCTTGGGCCAAGTGTATGTGTACTTAAAGGGGACAAATTTCTGGGAACGGACAGTCCACAAAGGGGACTCGCCTCTATTCAAGAGGCTGCTGGAAATCAAGGACCAGCTTGCTGGTCCGGCCGGGAGCACACATGTTGCTATCTATAGGTTGTTGGAATGGATAGAATCTAGCAATTTTTGTATGGGTTATTTAGGCAGGTTGGGGGTTAAGAAAGCATGGACAACTGAAGTCTGGAGACCGTACATTACTCCTAAACACTCCTTCATCCTTTAGCTGGGAGTGCAATCCAAATTGTAAGGATAGGCTCCCGCATCTCAACATTGTGGTTCGCAGGAGGAAACATGCCAACACTTATTTTTTCAACGCCATGTCTCCTCTAATGTTTGGAAGACTATAAAGGTTTGGTTGGGCATTCCAAGAGCAATGACTACTATTGCTGGTGCATTGAAGTGGATGAAGGAGGCTAAAGGAATTTCTTGGCAAAGTATGGTAAAAAAGATTTCATTGGTAACCGTCGTCTAACATATTCGGATGGCAAGAAATAGGAAATTTTTTCAGAATCTAAGACCATATGTGGATAGCATTGTTTGACGAATCAAAACATACATACACAAAGTTATGTTTCCTTTGTATTCAAATCTTTTGATTCAATATGAGTCTTTTGCATTTGTTCATAGATGATATCGTTTGTACATCTTTCCTTTTACCGCTTAGGAATGCCCGGTGTAATTGTATGAGTCACTTGATGTTGATTTGCTTGGGTATACCCGCTGTACTTATACATGAATTTTGATCAATATAATTTTACATTTATCGATCAAAAAAATAAAAATTAAATGTTTCAAGATGCACGTTAAGTGAGCTGTAAATGCATTTATATTATATTTGAAACCATTGGGGACTCTAGGAGTGAAGCAAAGTTGTTAAAGGTTATGTTAATGGTAAATATTTTACACCCACCAACCTCCTAGTGATGGAGGTGTGCTAGGGGTGAAGTATTGCAAACTCACTCGCCTGAAGTTGAGTAAAGACATTATGGTCGAGTAAATTTGTTTACTTGATAAAGGCAACTTGATCTTTAGTACCTTATGTGAAGGAGAGCGGTGATACTCACGATATTATGTACGCGAAAGTCTATTAAATTGAGGTAGTGTTTCACAAAAATAATTCGCGTGTAGTTATGCGATAACGTTTTCCTTAGATTTATACAATTTACATCTAATATTTACATGCAAAAATGTGTTCTTCCCCTTCAAACAATGCTACAAAACATTAAAAAAGACACGTTTCCTCATTTTTTTTCCTATATTTAACGAGTACACATCCCGTGTTATCCATGGACAACTACACTTTTTTTTTTAACACCAATAGTTTGTACACATAACGTATCAATGGACGGAGATAAGGGGGCCATCCTGATACCACAAAGTGTTTCAAACAATTTATTTTTTTATACGGAAATATATTAGTCCCGTAAAAAGAAAAAAAAAAAAAGTCAATTCCTAGCTCCGCTTCGATTTAATTATTTGATTATTTTCTTGAACATATATATCAAGTCCCTATTTGGTGACTTTTTTTTTTTTTTTGAATAGTAAATGTTTGGAGAATGAATGGTCAAAAAGTAGGAATTTTTTTTTGAATTTACATGTAGAATATTTTATTATGTGAATGTGTAATTAAAAATGAGTATATAAAAAAAGAATTTCGAAATGATGGAAAGAAACCGGGGCTAAAAGCTAATGAAGTTCTTTAAATATATTAAACCAAACAAAAACTGGAATAGAGCACGAAATAAGTCTATGTCCTTGTTTGTTGTAGATTAAAATCAGATTTTTAGTAAATTTTGATAAAAAATTGTGAAATGTGTGATTGAAATTAATTGTTGATTTTGACTTAAAATTAAAATCAGATTATAATAAAAACCAAACATGGGCTATATTGGATATTGGGCCCTAGGGTCAGGCTGGCAATTCTCTATTATAATTATGAAAAGGTTATCTTGGTACATATATAAACAAATGCTAATTATTTTCAAGTTTCTAATTTCCCATTAATAAGAAGTAAATCCCTCTTATGCGGGGTTGAGTCAAAATGTAGACAGGTTATGCACTAAACTAAACAAGATTAAGATACGTGTAATAAAAGTTACGAAGTTGTTATGTCCAATTCAATGCACCTGTCAAATTTGAATTGGTGTGAATTCCTTAAGCTGTGAAAAAAAAGAGAGACAAATGTTGATGGACTGAGTCGAGGCTCGGCTCGACTTATTAGAAGAGTTGAAAAGTGTCCGTCTTGGGGTGAGCCAAGCATGAGCCAGCTTGTTTGGAAAAATGCTGGCTTGGCTTGCCCCCAGCTCGTCCATTGGTGGAGCAAGCCAAGTCGACTTGTGAGGCTCTTGTGCCCACCACATTTTTTTCTTCTAAAAAAATCAATTATTATTATTAATTTGTTTGGGTTTGCCGAGTCTCAAATGAGCTAATGAGAGTCGACAAGTTTGCCCGTGCAAGCGGCTTGGGCCCATGACTAGCTTCAAGGCCGAGCCGCGCCTGCTCCACTATTTAGTTTAGGGAAAAATTTATGGGTCAAGTGTTTACTTTCAC